CTCTTTATCTCATATTTCATTTTAATCCCTAACATACATTGTGTACTTTTTACTATAGGAAAATGAACAAACCAGCTAGCAAAAGACACACATCATCTGTTTAAACTGCATTCTAAAGCAAATAAACTACATTATGGATCATGAAACAAATATAGCTCACTAGGGAGCCAGATATGTCTCTTTTGGAGCTCCAGCGCAGACCCCCTATCTCATATTTCATTTTAATCCCTAACATACATTGTGTACTTTTTACTATAGGAAAATGAACAAACCAGCTAGCAAAAGACACACATCATCTGTTTAAACTGCATTCTAAAGCAAATAAACTACATTATGGATCATGAAACAAATATAGCTCACTAGGGAGCCAGATATGTCTCTTTTGGAGCTCCAGCGCAGACCCCCTAGATAACCCCCCGCTCTCCCATAGCTGGAAGCTCATGCAGCTTCTTGAGGGAGGAGGAGGAGAGAAAGGCCCAAGGATACACACTGGAACCAGCTTGAATGTGTGCTGCTGTTAATCTTCCACCTGGCTGGGGAACAGCCTCGCAGGGACGTGCTTCCTGGAGGCTTTATCCTTTTCTCCCATTGGCCAGAATCTGGCGAATGGGAGCAGCAGGAGGTGGTGTTACACGGTGCGATAGCAAGTAAGGGCCTCCCCCATACCCAGACCCTGCACATGGTGCAATAGCAAGTAAGGGCCTCCCCCATACCCAGACCCTACATCTCCATCCCCCTCACTCACAGCCCCGCTGAGACCGTACACCCCAACCTGCTCTTGCCTCCTTCCCTCGGCCAGCCCACTTCTGCCCCTCCCCTGGCCCAGACACCCTAATCACAGCCTGCTCCTGTATCTTACTTCCCACCCAGATCTAGCACCTTTCACCCCCTCCTACACCCCACCTCCCGCCCAGATCCTGCAGCCCTGTCCCGCACACTTAACCCCTCATTTTTTGCCCCAACCCAGAGTATAGCCACCCCCCACAAAATCCACTAACCCTGGAACCCTAGAAGAGTAAATCTGTCCAGAGGCCTTGAACCTCAGTTCTCCCTGCCCCTCCCTGCACCATGAGGCTGGAGCACCAGGGGAGTGAGGTGTTTCAGTTCGGGGGGGTTGGAGGGGTTTTTTGGTTTTGTTTTTTGCTTCTCACTTGTGTGGTCCCCAACTGATTTTTCTGTGGGTCAGTGGCCCCGACCAAAAAAAGTTCCCCACCCCTG